CTTAAAAAAACCAAACAAACTGGTGCCAGTGGCTCATGCCTGTAGTCCTAGCTACTCAGGAGGCTGAGATCTGAGGATCATAGTTCAAAGCCAGCATGGGCAGTAAAGTCCATGAGACCCTTACCTCCAATAAACCACCAGAAAATCAGAAGTGGCGCTGTGGCACGAGAGGCAGAGCACTTGCCTTGAGCTGAAGAGCTCAGGGACAGCACCCAGGCCCAGAGTTCAAGCCCCACGACTGACCAAAGAAAAAATAGACATAGTTTAAAACAGATGGAAATAAGAGTAACTCCCTCTTCCTGTATTTATAGCTATTCTTGGGATGCACAACCTGATAACAAACGCGCAGTTCTGTAACGTAGTGGGCAGTAGTAATGGAGTCGACCAACATTTTTCAAGTGAGTATTTAAGATGCTTTATGAATTTCAGTATTTTAGGAAATGTATATTTGTGTCTCCATTTTTCATCTTCGGTGTTTATATATCAAATGTTAAATATATATTCTTCAACTTGAAATTCTAGTTTGATAGTATTGACAGAGAAAGCCATTGAAAATAGAATAGCCAGCATGTTTTCTTTTATGTGTTGACAAATCTAATAAGAGCTATTCTCACCACAGTAAATATTACTGATTAAGCAGTATAAAATCTAGGTGCCTTTTCTTCTAAACCATGGCCTTGAGTATGCTAGACACATACTCTTACCACTGAGCTACATTCCCAGCCCAGCTAAACTTTTTCTTTTCTTTTTTTTCTTTAGTACTGGGGCTTGAATTCAGGTTTAGATGCAATTTTGCTCAAGATTGGAGTTTGAGCTGGGCACCTGTAGCTCACTCCTGCAATCCTGGCTACTAAGGAGGCTGATATCTGAGGATCACGGTTCAAAGTCAGCCCAGGAAGGAAAGTCCATGAGACTCTTAACTCTAGTTAGCCACCAGAAAACTGGAAGTGGCGCTGTGGCTCAAGTGGTAGAGCACTAGTCTTGAGCTGAAGAACTCAAGAATAGTACCCAAGCCCAGAGTTCAAGCCTCATGACTGACCAACAACAACAACAAAAAGATTGGAGTTAGACCACTTGAGCCATACTTTTACTTCTGGCTTTTTGCTGGTTAATTTTAGATAAGAATATCACAGACTTTCCTGCCTGGGATGGCTTCAAACTGAGGTCCTCAGATCTTAGCTTCCTAAGTAATTGCAATTACAGTTAGCCACCAGTGCCTGGCCAAACTTAATTTTACTGACATTATCAGTGTTACTGATTTTTTAAGGAATCAACAGTAATTTTGCAAAAGAAACTATATTATAAAATCAGATTCAGGAGGAAAAACTATTCAACCCCCCCAAAACATCCTGGTGTGAAGTATTAAAATGGCCTAAAACAAAGGTTTTTGTTTTGCTTTATTTTTAGTTTATTTATAGGGAGTGTTTAAATTATGAAGGTAATAATATGCTTTTATAACATAGTTACACAGTCCATAAGTATATGTGAATAAAAAGTAAAACTGTCTAGGCTCAGTTTGGTGGTTTATGCCTGTATCCCAGGTACATAAGAGCTGGAGATAGGAGGGTTCAAGTTCAAGGTCATGTCAGTCAATCCTTGCTCTTTTCATTTGTTACTACAGATGTAGTAAAAGGGGAAACAATTGTTCCAGTGTTTGATGAGCCACCAAATCCAACCAATGTTGAAGAGAGCTTAAAGAGAATTAAAGAAAATGATGCTCGTCTTGTTGAAGTTAATTTGAATAATATAAAGGTAAGTATATTGAGCATATAATTCATAAAAGATCAACAGAATTGTTTCATTTTGAGTCAGGTGAACTTTGGACAGTAGCTTGACAGTTTTGATGCAAAGGGTCTTAGTCTTCTCACTTTAAAGATTTTGCTACTAACAATATGCTAATATAGTAGGTTCTTTCAATTTTTAGTATTATAGAACGGTATTTTCTGTTTACTTTTTAAAAATGCAAGCCCTACATACTGCCCTTAAATCTCTCTGGCTTATAAAGTATTACCCACTTTTAGGACCTTTAAGTCTTTTTCTTTTTTCTTTTTTTTTTTTTTTTGGTACCGATCCTGGGACTTGAACTCATGGCCTGGCCACTGTCCTAAGCTTTTTTTTTTTTTTTTTTTTTTTGGGGTCCGGTCATGGGGCCTGAACTCAGGGCCTGGGTGCTATTCCTCAGCTCAAGGCTAGCGCTCTACCACTTGAGCCACAGCACCACTTCCGGCTTTTTTCTTTTTGCTTATGTGGTGCTGAGGAATCGAACCCAGGGCCTCAGGCATGCAAGGCAAGCACTGAGCTACCTTCCCAGCCACCCCAGCTTTTTTTTTTGCCCAGTCCTGGAGCTTGAACGCAGGACTTGGGCCCTGTCCCTGAGCTACTTTTGTCAGAGGCTAGCATTCTACCACTTGAGCCACAACACCATTTCTGGCTTTTTCTGTTTATGTGGTACTAAGGAATCCAACCCAGGGCTTCATGCATGTAAGGCAAGCACTCTACCACTAAGTCACATTCCCAGCCCAGCTTTTCTTTTTATTTATTATTATTATTATTATTTTTTTTTTTGTCAATCGTGGGGTTTGAACTCTTGGCTTGAGTGCTGTCCTTACGCTCTTCAGCTCAAGGCAAGTGCTCTACCCAGTGCCACTTCTGGTTTTCTAGTGGTTTATTGGAGATAAGAGTCTCATAGACATTCCTGCCTGGGCTGACTTTGAACTGCAATTCTCAGATCTCAGCCTCCTGAGTAGCTAGGATTACAGGCATGAGCGACCAGCACCTGGCCAGCTTTTCTTTTTCTAATCAAATTTCTTAAGGTTATATGCATGGAGAAGTCTCCTTTTAGTATACAATCCTATGTGAGGCTCACACATTCGGTTATACAACTGCCTCCACAGTGAAGAAGTCCGTAGGCCCCAGACCCCCTCTGTAGTCATCTCCACCCTACCCTTGTTGCTGACAGCATTTCCTTCCCGCCATTTCACCTCCTCCAGAATGTGTATAGATGACAGCCTTAGTACCTGGCCTTGCAGGCTAGCCTTTCCATTTGGCATAGTATCTATGAGCCTCATCTGTGCTATTACAGGTATTGCAGCGTTCCTTCTTCTTGCCTGTTAGATTTTTAAAAAGAGGTAGCCAAGTAAGAACAGCACCACACACGTGGTATTCAGGTAAGGGGTAGGTTTATTCAGTAGACCTGCTGGGACCAGGCCATGTTGGCACTCCACACGTCTGGGATAGGCCTGGGAAAGAGCTGGGAAAAAGAGAGAGAGCTGGGAAAGAGAGAGTTGGGAAAGACAGCTGGGAAAGAGCTGGGAAAGAGAGAGAGCTGGAACCACTATCCTCAGATCTCTGACTCCTGAGTAGCTATGTTTACAAGCATGAGCCACCAGTGCCTGGCTTTCTTGTTGGGTTTTAAACAATATAACTTTCCTTTAGAGTAAGTAAAGAGGAAATAAGGCATAAGGGTAGGTAATGATTAGCTGGGTGTCAGTGGCTCGTGTGTGTAATGGTTGCTATTCAGGAGGCTAAGATCTGAGTATCACAGTTCAAAGCCAGCCTGAGCAGGAAAGTCCATAAGACTCTTATCTCCAATTAACTACCAGAAAAACCGGAAGTGGCTCTGTGGCTCAAAGTTGTAGATCACAAGCCTAGAGTAAAAAAGCTCAAGTCAGCACCTAGATCTTGAGTTCAAGCCCCACTACTGACCAAAAAAAAAAAAAGAATAATGATCAGCAAAGCTTAAACTCAGGTTATGTCTTGGCTCCTGTCCGTTGCATAGCAGGGACCTTACAAATTCCTCTTTGTAATTGATTTCTCTGAATTGAGGTTTTGGAAAGGGAAGCATCTGGAAATTATACAACCTAGGGCATAAGTACTCTGTACTTTCAGTGTGTCTTTCTTCTATGAGGAAAGCCTTGGAGAAGACTTGTAAAAAAAAAAAAAGAAAGAAAATTCAGTCCCTGTGTATTTATCTCTAAGTAAAAATTAATAATCTAAAAACTATCAGGCTGGGGCTGAGAAGGTGGCTCAGTGGTTAAAGCGCTTGCCTTGCATGCCTGAGGCCCTGGGTTTGATTCCTCAGCACCACATAAGCAAAAAGAAAAAGGCTGGAAGTGGCACTGTGGCTCAAGTGGTAGAGCGCTAGCCTTGAGCTGAAGAGCCGAGGGACAGTGCCCAGGCCCAGAGTTCAGGCCCCATGACCGGACCCACAAAAAAAAACTATCAGGCTATAAGAAGAACTCGATGTCTTAAAATCAGTACCCTGCCCTGTGTTGTCCTCCTGCAGGAAGTATAGTTAATCTCTCTTGATAAAAGGTCACTAAGTGGAGGAGAGTAGTGAGTCATCTACTTCAGTGATTACACTCATTAGAAAAGTGGATTCTCTCTGGGCACCAGTGACTCAACACCTGTAATCCTAGCTACCCAGGAGGCTTAGATCTGAGGATCAGGGTTCACAGCCAGCCCGAGCAGGAAAGCCGGTGAGACTCTTATCTCCAATAAACCACTTGAAAACCGGAAGTGGCGCTGTGGCTCAGTGATAGAGCACTCTCCTTGAGCTGAAGAGTGGAGGGACAGCGCCCAAGCCCAGAGTTCAAGCTCTATGACTGCCAAAAAAAAGAAAAAAGAAAAGTGGATTCTCCTTGAGTAGCCAGGGATTGACTACATGTCCTAAGAATAATGGAAAGTAAAATGAGAGTACTTTGTTAAGTGCCAGAGAAATAGTAGTATGAGCAATAGCTAATGCAAATGCACCAAAGTAAATAAGTAAAATGATACAGAGAATACTATTGATATTCGCATTTGTACACTATCACATGTTTATTAATTGTTGAGTACGTTTTTTAAAATTTTTTATGGTTTCTTTTTATTTTCTTCAAATTCTTTATTGTGATTAAGTGATTACATAATTTCACAAATTTCACAGTATTGTGGGATAGTGATGCTTAGTTAAAGTCACAAACACATTCTAACTTCCATGAGGCAAATTGTCTATTGTGATCTATAACATTTATGAGTTCTATGAGCTTTGCAATACAGTTATTTCTCCACATTGGGTGATATGTACATTTCTTTTGTTTTGCATAACACCAGCTGTTCCCTCTTTCCCATCGCTGCCATTTTGTTGCTTAGTTCATTTTGATCAATGTCCAATGCAGCTGATGGGTCCCACTGTTGTATGTTTTTTCCCTGATTCCCTCTAGTTCTGTGTCATCCTCCTGGTTTCCCTCTGGTGTGCACATATATACCATATATGTGATCAGTAGCATGGGCTTATTTAGTAGTGATTTGACCAGATGAGTGGAAGTCCTTTGTTTCTTAAGACTTGTTAATTTTGTCATATCACCTTACATTTTGGATTTAACATCTACTCATCAGGGAGACCATGTGCCGTTTGTCTCTTTGCTCTTGGCTTACCTTGCTGTTGAGTATGTTTTAAAAACTTAAAAAGAGTAAGCTGGGCATGGTGGTATATGTCTATAATTCAGTCCTTGTCTGAGTTAGGAGGATCTCCAGTTTAACGCCAGCCTAGGCTGGGAAGGTGGCTCAGTGGTAGAGCGTTTGCCTTGCATGCCTGAGGCCCTGGGTTTGAGTCCTCAGCACCACATAAGCAAAAAGAAAAAAGCCGGAAGTGGTGCTGTGGCTCAAGTGGTAGAGCGCTAGCCTTGAGCTGAAGAGCTGAGGGACAGTGCCCAGGCCCAGAGTTCAGGCCCCATGACTGGACCCCCACCCAAAAAAAATAAAAAGCAAAAACAAAAAAAAAAGCAGCAAATATATTTGATTAGTGGTCTGATTTGCTGAAAATATGATGTTTCACATTTCTATCTTTCAAGAACATTCCAATTCCTACCCTGAAAGATTTTGCAAAGTCTTTGGAAAATAACACACATGTGAAGCAATTCAGTCTCGCAGCCACCCGGAGCAATGACCCCATTGCTGTGGTAAGTATGCCACTGCTGGTAACATCAGTTACAGAGGGGAAAAGTTGTGATTTTATAACCAGGATTTACTTCCTCCTTTCAGCTGGTGTTTTAGCTCACTATTAGACAATATATCCTATACTAGGTTCTCTCTCCCCCCACCTCAGGTGATGGGGCCTGGGCGCTGTCCCTGAGCTCTTCAGCTCAAGGTGAGTGGTCTATCATTTGAGCCACAGCACCATTTGTGGTTTTCTGGTGATTAATTAGAGATAAGAGTCTCCTGGACTTTCCTGCCTGGGCTGGCTTTGAACCATGATGCTCAGATATTAGCCTCCTGAGTAGCTAGGATTACAGATGTGAGCCACTGGTGCCAGCTCAGTGATAGATTTTTGTATATTAAGCCAACCTTGCATTCCTCGAATAAATTCCACCCTGGCTTTGAAAATAACACTCCCTTTGGTTCTTCTCCAACTTCAGTGGACATTCTAAGGTCCTCATACAGGTACTTGCTCATCTCCTAAACATTTGATTGCTCCAAGGCTTGTTTTTTTTCTTTTCTTGGGTGATATCATTCTGTATTATTGCTATGTATTATCCACATATGCTGATGAGAACCAATATTTTTATTTATTTCTGGTTTATACCTCTTTCTATACCCATGCCAAGCTATCTACTTGACAGCTATACATAGATATCTAATACACAGCCTTTCATCAGAGTCCTGGACCAAAGTCCTGACTCCTATCCATGCCTTCTCTTGATTCTTCTCTTATTAAATGGCAACTTTTGCATCTTTCACTTTCTCCAGCCAATAGTCAAAAAGGGCTGGGATGTAGCTCAGTGGCAAAGCGTTTGCCTAGCAAGTGCAACGTCCTGGGTTCGATCCCCAGTACCAAAAAAGAAAAGACAAAAATAATACAGTTAAAAAAAACCCCAATAGTCAAAGAAATCATGAATCATCCTTGACTTCTCTTTCTCATAGCAATAAGCATATATTTATTTCCTGTCTTCAAAATAGTTCTAGAGTCCAACTATTTCTCATCATTTTCATTACTACTACCCTGATCCAAGCAGCTTCTGTCATCTTACCCATTATTATGGCAGTTATTTACATAGTGTCAAGAATGATTTTTTTTGTCAGGCACTGGTGACTAATCTGTAATCCTGGTTACTCAAGAGGCTGAGATCTGAAGATCTCAGAAGCCAGCCCAGGCAGAAAAGTCTGTGAGACTCTTACTGCCAATTAACCAGTAAAAAAGTCAGAAGTAGAGCTGTGCTGGTCGCTCATACCTGTAATCCTAACTACTACTTACGAGATTAGAGGATTGAGGTTCAAAGCCAACCAGGGCTGGAAAGTCCATGAGACTCTTTATCTCCAGTTAACTACCAGAAAACTGGAAATTAGCTTTGTGGCTCAAAGTGGTAGAGTGTTAGCCTTGAGCAAAAGAGCTCAGGGACAGTGTCCAGGCCCTGAGTTCAAGCTCCACAACCAGTCAAAAAATAAGTCAAATAAGTAGAGGCATAGTCCAAGTGGTAGAACACCAGCTATGAACAAAAAGCCTAGTGAGAGAACAAAACCCTGAGTTGAAGCCCTAATACTTGCATAAAAAGAAAATAAGGAATATATGGTAATAAACATTTTTGTTTATGCATATGCAGTATAAAATTTGTGTTAACAGTTTTTTTAGGACCTCATGCTTGCTTGCTTTGCCCAGCTGGTGCTGTATCACTTGAACCTCCAGTTTAGCATTTTTCTGATTAATTGGAGATGGACTCTAAAACACTTTTCTGCCTTGGCTATCTTCAATGGAACTGAGATCCTTTGGAACTCAGACTCTTGAGTAGCTAGAATTACAAGCATGAGCCACTACTGATCAATTTTGTTGTTGTTGTTGTTGTCAGTGGTAGGGCTTGAGTTCTGGGTTTGGCGCTGTCCCTCAGCTCTTCAGCTCAAGGCAAGCTCTCTACCACTTGAGCCACAGCACCGCTTCCCGTTTTCTGGTGGTTTATTGGAGATAAGAGTCTTATGGACTTTCCTGCCTGGGCTGGCTTTGAACAGTGATCATCAGATCTCAGCCTCCTGAGTAGTTAGCATTACAGGCATGAGCTACCAGCACCTGTCATAGTGATGAAATTTTAATCTCCAAGTATTTTCTTTAATTTCTAGGCTTTTGCAGATATGTTGAAAGTGAACAAAACTTTGAAGAGCTTAAATATGGAGTCCAACTTCATTACTGCAGCTGGAGTTCTAGCACTGATTGATGCTTTAAAGGAAAATGAGACCCTGGCAGAGCTTAAGATCGACAATCAGGTCAGTATTCTACAACAATGTAGAGGAAGCAGTAGCTTCCCCCTCTGCCCCCATCCCCCCCCCACCCCAATCTAGGGCTCAAGCCCCAGGATGGCTGTGGGAAGGGTTGTCAGGGAGTCCTTTCAGAAAAATAGTGGCTGAAAGGGGGTCTGAGGACATTTGTGCTATACACAATATTAACTTAATGTTTAAAGGTGTTATCTAGAGCAACTCTTTTTTTTGGGGGGGGGTGTTGGTTGTGGGGCCTGATCTCTGGGCCTGGGTGCTGTCCCTCAGCTCTTCAGCTCAAGGCCAGCGCTCTACCACTTGAGCCACAGCGCCACTTCCGGCTTTTTTTTTTTTTTTTGCTTATGTGGTACTGAGGAATCGAACCCAGGGCCTCATGCATGCAAGGCAAGCGCTCTACCACTGAGCCACCTTCCCAGCCCTAGAGCAACTCTTTAACTCTGCAAGTTTGTTATTTTGTGGTACTTGAGATTGAACCCCACACTTGCCAAGCAAGTACTCTTCTTCTTGGGGCTAGGAAGGTGGTTCAGTGGTAGAGCGCTTGCCTTGCATGCATGAGGCCCTGGGTTCGATTCCTCAGCACCACATAAGCAAAAAGAAAAAAAAAGCCAGAAGTGGCGCTGTGGCTTAAGTAGTACAGTGCTAGCCTTGAGCTGAAGAGCTGAGGGACAGCATCTAGGCCCAGAGTTCAGGCTCCAATACCGGACCCCCCCCCAAAAAAAAATACTCTTCTTGAGCCATGCCTTCAGCCTAAAAGCATGTTTTTTATGTATGTTTTAGAAATTGAGAAAATTTAGAGTACAATGGAATCAGCACATGCTTGAATATCTTACCCTTGATTTACCTAAAAGCAGTTTGCTTCTAGTTTGTAAATGCTATTTGTTATTTCTTACTCTTGCAGAGGCAGCAGTTGGGAACAGCTGTAGAGTTAGAGATGGCCAAGATGCTGGAGGAAAATACAAATATCCTTAAGTTTGGGTATCAGTTTACACAGCAGGGACCTCGAACCAGGGCCGCTAACGCTATAACAAAAAACAATGACTTAGGTAAGACATCTGCAGGGTCACATTGAGTGAGTTTTTCAACTTATCGTTTGTTAAATTGTGTACTGGAGAAGTGTCTCTTACTTTTAAAAAAAAGCAAGTTTTAATTTAAAGAAATTACTCCTTTGTTTCCAGAATCTGCATTCCCTTTTTTACTGATTGAACTATACAGTTCAGCCAGGTTGAAGCAATGATCAGATCTCATGATAAGCTAACTTCCTGTGACAAAAAAAAGGAAATTCATAGCTTTCTGTGACATTTTCTGTCCCTTTCTTACTCTTGTTATAAATATGCTCTTCAAGCTTTGGAGTCCACAGCGACAGACATGAAACTAAAGAATTGTCTCAGCAAGACAAATTTCCTTCTGTGCAGAAGGATGTATCATGAGCAGAAAATCTGGCACGCACACAGAGCAGGTCATCTGCTCCAGTATTTATTCCTAACGCAGCAGACCCTGCCCCTCTGCTCAGGTTGATTGAGCTCAGGTTCATGGTCTGCTCTCTATTGGCTAGTTTGAATAGGGTACAAATGTATTATTAAGGTGATTTTGAAATAAGATTAACAGTTCACAAATAATCTCAAACTATACCCACCTCCTCTGCTATTTCCTGAACAGTATGGGGTGTGTTTTAAAGTTTCTGGAGCAGAAAAAATAAGCCAGGTTACTGTGTCTGCACTTTTGGTTTTTCTTCCCATTTGAGCCTCTGTGTCCTCCTTGGTTTAACTGGCTATGAAGAGAGAGATCCACAAGATTACAGTGCTATCATCTTTATCACTCGGCCTACCCACTTTAAGTTCTATTTAATTTGTAAATTAATCATTGGCTTTTTTTTTTTTTTTTTTTGGGTGCTGGTCCTGGGCTCAACCTCTGGGCTTGGGCACTCTCCCTGAGCTTTTGTGCTCAAAGCTAGTGCTCTGCCATTTGAACCACAGCCTGTACTTCCAACCTTGTAACCTTTTTGAGGCTATTGAATCTATACCTTTTAAATCATGCTTAACAAATAGGTACGTAATAAAAATACATGAAGTGGGCTGGCGATGTAGCTCAGTGATCAGATAGCACCACAAACAAATTAAGGAGTGGGAGTGCCATGGAAAGAGGCTGAGATGTGAGAGGCAGCTGATGAAGCCAAGGATGCTGAGAGCTGGCACTCACAGCATTGGGCTGGGTCAGACACTAGCTTCATAAATACTCATGGCTAGAATAAATGCAGAATGGAAACGTTACATCAGCAGATTAAGAGGTTGAGTTGGCAGAAGACCCTAGAAGTACATGATAAAGAACTTATATGTCTTTGGTCATTATGTAGGGGACATGTGAGAACTATTATTGCCTCAGGATTAAGAAACTTTTGGTTTTTTTTTTTTTTTTGGTCACAGGAAATTAGCTTATCATGAGACCTGATCGTTGCTTCAACCTGGCTACAACCTGTCTACAAAGAGTTTAGTTAGGACTTACAGTTGACTTTAAAATGTCATAGCTTGCCTGGCCCTGTGACTCAGCCTGTAATCCTAGCTACTCAGGAAGCTGAGATCTGAGGATCACGGTTCAAAGCCAGCCCGGGCAGAGAAGACTGTGAGACTCTTATCTCCAATTAACCACCTGAAAAACGGAAGTGGCACTGTGGCTCAAGTGTTAGAGCACTTGCCTTGAGCTAAAGAGCACAGGGACAGCACCCAGGCCCAGAGTTGAAGCCCCACAACTGACAAAAAAGTCAAAGATTACAGGCTTATCGCATAGTGGATGAGCTGTTATGTACCTCACTGGAAGGTCACAAGGGCCCTAGGTGAGACAGAGTCAGAAATGGCTCTGCCCATCACCCTCTCCTGTGCAGCAAGCTCCCTGTCCTCTGCTCTCAGCCTGATGTATTTTCACACTATCCTGTGATCTCTGCCCATAGATAAAACAGAAAACCTGAATATCCTGTCTCTCAGCAGCCTGTTATTTTGTAACTCAAAAGAGCTAGCAAGGCCAGGTGTTGGTGGCTCACACCTGTAATCCTAGCTACTCAGGAGGCTGAGATCTGAGGATCTCGGTTCAAAGCCAGCCCGGGCAGGAAAGACCATGAGACTCTTATTTCCAATAAACCACTAGAAAACCAGAAGTGGCGCTGTGGCTCAAGCAGTAG